CTATTCACGTAGCAACGACTCACTGTAGACTGAATGTGTGTTTAACAGGTTCGTCTAAGCATGACAGACAGTGTGTGTGACGTGAATACATATTACTGTATTTCAAACATTTGTGTATATGCTGTGTTCGACACGTGCACTATCCACTACACAGTGACTTCCACATGATGAAACGAGACTGAAGACACTGTACTATACTACATACTACAACACTATACTATACACTACACTACATTATGTGTTTTACTGTCTCGACTGATGCAAGTGTTTTGGTCAGTTTGTCAAGAGAAGAGTCGATCTTCATCGTGAGGAAGACCTCGTGGTCTCCTCTGCTGCTCCAGTCTCTGCAGGCCTTCCTCTCGCCCCAGTGCATGCTGGGAACCCGCTCTGTGAGCCGCCTCTGTCGCTGTGATGTCAATCTGAGCGTATTTACTGGAGCTTTTACCTGCAGACAGCAAACACAAGCATCAGGGAAAGTTCACGAGAGCAAGCGTCAGTGTTGGCCTGAGAAAGCTTGCATTATTGCATTGATCAAAAGTCAACAGTAAAGACATTTATAATGTTACAAACGATTTCTATTTCAAATAAACGCTGCTCTTTTGAACTTTCCATTCATCTGTGAATCCTGAAAAATAAAATGTTTCACGGTTTCCACAAAAATATCGGGCAGCACGACCAACACGAAGAGCTCTCCAAGAGCGTGCTGAACTCGTTCAGTCTTCTCTCCGTAGAGTAGTCAGGAGCGGAACGATGTGATCGCTCGGCTCCGAAGCGAAAAGCTGAATATGCGCTGCACCTGCTGCCTACTTATACTCACGCTGTGATCAGCAGCAGCTGGATGCAATAATCGCATGCCAATGTGCATTGGCTCGTTTAGTTTACACTCGAAGTAGATTGGTCCCTCTAAGCGAGATCCCAATTTCGTCGGTCCTCCGACGTGACGTCGAGAGTGACCGACTGAAAGGGAACAGCATATTATAATGATTTCTGAAGATCATGTGACACTGAAGACTGGAGCAATGATGCTGAAAATACAGCTTTGATCACAGAAATAAATTATAGTTTAACAGATATTCACATTCAATACAGCTATTTTAAATTTTAATACTATTTCACAATTTTTACAATCTTATTAATTAATATTATTTTTGATCTCTTATTAATATTATTATTAGTGTGCACTTCTGACGGCGGCGCTGGACTCCTGCAGCTCCAGTTCCATGTAATGCAGATGTTTTTTGGACGTGGGGCTGGTGGGAATATTCACGTATGTCACCGCGTCTCCTCTGAGTCTGTCTGCCAGCGCTGGACCGGTCACACAAACACACACACACACACACTTCAAACGGCACAGAGAAATCACAGAAACACACAGATCTGAGATCACCTTCAGTCAGATGAGGAGAAATCTTCTGCGAGCCCATCATGAGCTCGTACCTGCTGCGCTCCTCCTGACACAGAGACAGAGACAGAGACATTTATCCATGGAAAAACACACCTTTCATTAGTCCGGTTCCCGCTTAAAAACCAACATGTCCACACCGGTTGAATGTGTAACCTGTCTGAACAGGTTCAGCACGGTTTCACTGTTAGTGCTCTGGATTACGAGACGCAGACGGATGATAAATGTGTTACAAACGCAGCTTTCACACGTCTGACTCTCAATAGCACACACTGTGTGTGGCCTTCAGCTGTATTTAACTACTCTATCTTTCAACCATTTATTTATGCACGAGTTATTAAAGGACGGGGAAAATCTCAATGTTTCTGTTTTTCATTGCATGCAATAAGAAATAAAAAATGAGGTAATTTAATATAATATTTAAGTATTGTTCAAATGCTAATAACTAATGACATTAAACCAAATAAATCCTAAATTCTAAGGATTTTCTGCTTATATTTTCTGTGTAAATAACCACTAGATCTTTTTTGTTTAGTTTTCAATGACTGAAATATATGTATATGTATATTGTAATCATTGTAATCAGCCATTTTTTTGTTTTAATTTTAATTTTAGTTTTTTTTTTTACTTTTGTCATTTTTATTAGATTTGTCTTTATTAGTTTCATATATTTTAGTGTTTGATTTTAGCACTTCATCTTAAACTTATTGTATCTCTTTATATCCTTTATATATATTTTGTTTCATCTAGTATTCATATTTTACTTTATTTCAATTAACACAAATTATTTTTAATAGTTTTAGTACACAATGCAAACCGGTCTCAAGATGCATCATTGCGCTCAGCACATCAGCTACAGTGTAGAGGGTTAACAGAGCACCCGTGTGTTAAATAATCATGACTGATCATTGATACAGATGTGAGTGTTGGGCTGCATTTGTTTTAGTGCTGTATTTTTGCACACTTCTATTGGCTGTAATTCACCTCCTGGCTGCTGTCTGATCATCGGCTGTCCATGATTTCATATAGGCAGCATCCATTCTTCCTTTCTCTGCTCATATCCTCTCTCTGTTCTCTGCACAAAGACAGAAACAAACACAGGAGCGATGCAAATATATCCGTTTTCAATTCAAAAAGTATATTCTCCAATACCAGGTTTAAAAATACTAAGCTATATTTTCTTTGGTGTATTATATGTTGATGTCTGATTTGCATGAAAAATGATATAGACTGTAGGTTTTGGCCTAAAAATATGTCGTATTTTGTTGCAAATAAAAGGCTCAGAAATCAGACACACTTGGAAATTGTGCTCGCTTTCAAGTGATCTCCACCCATCCAGACCTTCTCAGAAACGGGAAACAACAACACAGACGGGTTTGCAGGCAGAAGACGAAAGGTCATTACTAATACGATTAGACAGAGACTTCTGGAGTGAGGAGAAGGAGAAGATTCGAAGAGTCCTCAAAGGAGAGTTGGGTTAGAGACGAGACGAGAGTCCGGCGTGAGAGTTTGGGCTCGTACCTTCCTCAGGTATTCGTTGCAGAGAGACTGTGGATGGAATGTTCAGAAATAAACAGTAACAAAAAATAAATGTCAGATGAATTTCAGAATATAATGCTCTTTGCTCTGTGTGTTTTGTGCTAATGTTTTAAGAACAGTGTTGGATGCCAGATAACGCTGAACAAACGTTCTATCAACCTTAGCAGAACATTAGCTAAAGTTCTGAAAGCGTTGCTTGTTAGCCGGAATGCTATTATATTTATTATATAATATAATATTTACATTATTCTACAGGCTACTACTATCACAGTTATATTTGCTAAATCTAAATTAAACCTATTTGATTCCAATTAAATTACAACTAACAAATGTATACAATGACTTCGCAGTGAATATGAAATGTCTATGACGCAGCATCACAACGTCTGTCTGATTAAAATAAAAAGCTCTTGTATATTTACAGATGCGACGTTCACAGTACGCACTCAGATTTCGAGTATGCATCGCAGTAAGAACATTCTGCTGGTTTATTTTGCTGTCGCTGTCACTTTTACTTTTATGTTCAGTTGTATGATTTACTCAGTGTATTAATTTACAAACTCATTGAAGATATTTTGAAGATTGTTACCAAACACTTGACTGTACCCATTGACTTCCATAGTATTTTTTTTTCATTATATGGAAGTCAATGGCTACCGTCAACTGTTTGATTGCCAAAATTCTTCAAAATATCTTCTTTTGTGTTCAGCAGAGGAAAGAAACTCATGCAGGTTTGAAACAAGTAAAGGTGAGTAAATGAAAATGATCTGCATTTGTGGGTGAACTGTCCCTTTAAGATCAGACTTATGAGTCAATTAGTGTTTAACTCACATATTATTCTAACAGTAAGACAGTAACAGTAATATATATATATATATTTACACTAACATCCCACAATGCAGAGTGATTACTTTACATATATATACAACATCTAAATATATATTTAAATTAAATATATTTAAGAAATTATTGTTAATTCTAGTAAAACGGTTATTGTTAAAGTACTAAAATGTTTATGCTGTTATCATCTAAAAAAACACACTGCCGCTTTACACGCATTCTCTCATCAGCTCTCAAACGCTCATGTCAGAGGTCAGTCAAAGGTCAGTGTGCCGCTGCGGAACAATTCCTTTAGGTCGCACACAATTAACCCGTACATCTATGGAAGCATATAGGTAGCAAAATTAAATTTAAAATGCAATACGCAAAAGGGCAATGCATTTCAGTATTTAAATTTACATTTCCCATTACCCATATGTGCAGAGTTTGGTGCAAAAGGAAAATGAAAAATTTACATTTGCATTGCCATTTTGCATATTGCCTTTTAAATTGAATTTTGATACTTATATGCTTCCATATACGTGCACTGGTGGCGCCTTATGAGGAGAGACGATGTGAATCATACATTAAAGCATGCAGGGAAAATAAAATAAAATAATAAAATAAATGTAAAAAAAAAATAAGATAAATGAAATATAAATACATAAATGATTGACTGATTGATGGTCATGTAACAAATGTGATTCATGTAGTATCTGATTTTAATATTACTGAAACAACCTAATTATATTACTACATCTGAAAGGTCACTTATAATGATCAGATCAGGTAAAAATTGTCTTTGTGCATGTCACTGTTATAATTTTGCACACATTTCTAAGCAATACAAGGGTGAAAATCTCAACAACAACAAAAATTAATAATAATAATAATAAAATAAAATGGGTGGTTTTCACCCAAATTGAAAAAAAACAAATAGTTTAAAGAAAATGAAGCTTTAAAGAAAATGGGACTAATAATACTTTATTAAATTACTGTAATGATAACATTTGGTTGCATTATCGAAAACATTAATAATAGAACACTTTGTACTTTGTGTGTTTTTTTGAAAACGCCCTATAAATACTATACAACGAATACAAAAATAATAATAGAGTAATTTTCATTACTATATTACAGTTATGACGATCTAAAATAAATGATTTTAGATAATAATTGAATTACTGAATTACAAGCAAACTCAAAAGTGTATTAACATCTAAGCAATGCAAACTGTGAGGAAATGTTATGGAAACATCGCAATGCATAATACGGTCTGAAAAATAGACTTAATATGCAACATATAATTTCGTGTTGAAATATGATACACATTAATACATAGATGATCTATTATTTGGCCACTCTGTCAGATGAATAGAAATTCAGCATAGAGACCTGTTTGAATGGAAGTCAGCGGAGAAGATGCTTCAATGCTTATAATACATACTGGAATAAATAACTAAAAGCTGTGCTTTAACAGCAAGCTGTTGCATTGAAACGACATCTTTCCATTCACTCTCATGGGTTTATGTGCGTGACCTTTCCAATATGAGATTCACTCAAACACTGTCTCAAACAACTCTCGTTTTTAAATATGTTTTGCAGATTAAAAGACATTTATTTCACAGCAATCTTCTACTCAAAATCTATCTATATGCAAAAAATATATTATGATAATAATACATACGACTTTACATAACGCTTTCCATTCCAGCGTGCATGTCACCATACTGCTTGTTAACATAAATACAATAGCAATAAAACACGCTCACTGGTATCGCATGATCACCGGAATGGAGAGCCCTCGTGAATGCATTAGTAATAAAGTCACAGTTGTGTTTTATGGTTTATCTTTGGCACTGGCTCCCGATGCAAATGTCTATGGTTGTTCTGTTCACTGATGTTTTTCTGGATTTTTTGATGACGCTGTTGATCCAGACTGAATATTTGGGCACGAGGGTGTAAACGCCGGGTTTTCCCGAGCGTCCGCATCCGTCTCCCCAGCTGATGATCCCGTAGAGGAAACTCACGCCGTCGCAGTCGCACGCTAACGGACCGCCCGAGTCGCCCTGAACACAACACACACACATCTGTTCAAACACTACCGACTATTAAAGGTAACACTTTATTTTAAGGTGTCCTTGTTACACGTTGCATGCACTTACTATTATAATAACAATTCATTATGCATAATTGCATGCAAGTAACCCTAACCGTACATATAGTTAATTAATATTAAATGTCTATGGTTGTTCTGTTCACTGATGTTTTTCTGGATTTTTTGATGACGCTGTTGATCCAGACTGAATATTTGGGCACGAGGGTGTAAACGCCGGGTTTTCCCGAGCGTCCGCATCCGTCTCCCCAGCTGATGATCCCGTAGAGGAAACTCACGCCGTCGCAGTCGCACGCTAACGGACCGCCCGAGTCGCCCTGAACACAACACACACACATCTGTTCAAACACTACCGACTATTAAAGGTAACACTTTATTTTAAGGTGTCCTTGTTACACGTTGCATGCACTTACTATTATAATAACAATTCATTATGCATAATTGCATGCAAGTAACCCTAACCATACAATACGTACATATAGTTAATTAATATCACTCAGTACTTATTACGCTGTAACAAGGACACCTTAAAATAAAGTGTAACCCAATTCAGTTACTGTAAAGTAATACTGATATCTACGGAAGCCTGTTTGCGGCACTGAAGAAAAAATACAAAAAGGTAATTGCGACATTTTTTCTCACAATTCTGACTTTTTTCTCAAAATTGAGACTTGTGGAATATATATAAACACAATTCTGACTTTGTGATTTGCAATTGTGAATTTATATCTCGCAATTCTGAGAATTTTATTTATTTTTTTTTAGAAATTTGAGATAAATAAAAAAAATCGCAATTATTTTAATACTTATAAAAAAATTGTAATGCTTTATTTTTTTTGCAACGGCAGAAACGGGCTTCCATAGATATGAGAGCATTTATTCTATATCAATGTATATATTAACACTAATTATATTAATATTAATCTTAAACAATAACAATTAGACCAGCTTTATTAATGTCATATCCAAATCTGCATTCCATCATTTTTTTGGTAAATTGCAAAATGTGTTCAAAACAGAATTATTTATATATATATATATATATATATGTGTGTGTGTGTGTGTGTGTGTGTTAATTAAAGTAAAACAATTAGATAATTTATTGATAAATAATATTTTATATTGCTATTGATATATTTATAAAATTGATAAAAATTAATAATTTGTAAAAAAAAATATATATATATATTTATAAATGTATATTTATACTAAGAATATTAATATTAGTCTAAAATAAAAAGTTAAACAATTAGACCTGCTTTATTAATATTCATATAAAATCCTAATCTAAAAAATATATAAAAGTTACATAAAGAGTAAAAAACTGTACATTATTGTAAAGTTATTCTGATATTAGAGTATGTATTGATAAAGAACACTCTATATTAGTATAAACACTATATTAAGATGAAGAATATTAATATTAGTCTAAAACTATTAGACAATTAGGCCTGTTTTATTAATGTGGTAAAAAATGTAAATATGTAATCCAATATATATATATGGTTAGTAAAATCTAAAATATGTTCAAACATATGTAAATTATTGTAATTCTGATAATAGAGTATTTATTGATACACATTAGTATTAATACATTTATATATGTATGCTAAGAATATTAATATTAGAGTAGCCTGTTTTATTAATGTGGTAAAAAATGTAAATATGTAATCCAATATATATATATATGGTTAGTAAAATCTAAAATATGTTCAAACATATGTAAATTATTGTAATTCTGATAATAGAGTATTTATTGATACACATTAGTATTAATACATTTATATATGTATGCTAAGAATATTAATATTAGAGTCAAATAACAGGTAACATAATTAGCAAAACAAATCTGCAATCCAATAAACAAGATCAGGACTGGATCTGTCGGTCTGTCGGTGTTGTTTTGGCGTCTGACCTGACAGGCGTCCACACAGGACTCGCTGCCCGCACACAGCATCCCTGACCTGACCTCTGACCCGTAGACGTCTGGAGACGAGCACTGATCGAACGGGATGATCTTCACCACTCCCTCCATCAGGTGAGAGTACGAGTTCGCCTCTAAACACACACATGCAACAACAATAATGCATTTATGTGCACATTATTACAGAATAGCTCTGTTCCAAAACCCAGTGAGCTGTTTATCGTCTACATGCAATCAGCTGCCAACTATATATATATATATATATGCTTCTCTGAGCGTTTCCCTATCCCTTGTAAAAAACAAGTGCACTTAATAGCATTGAATGTGCACTTGTAGTGTACTTCAGATCTTAGAAATATCCACAAAAAACTGTATGTGCAGAAAATATACTATTAATGAAATTAAATGCCACTTAAGTGACTTAAAGAGACTTTCATGACTGTATCTTATCGCACTTTTGAAAAGTTGTATTTTAAAGTACATTTGAAATCATATTTTAATAATCTTTTGTCATGTTTTAGAGAAGTACACTTATTTTGATGTGTTGACTAACATACTAAACCACATGTAAAGAACTTGATTATCATTTTAACTGTAGTGTGTTATTCAATATTAGATTTAAAGTTACTATATTTTAAATGTACTAAATTGCAACTTCAATATTGCAAATATAAATCTGTGACACAAGTTTCAACAGAAATGACATTAAAGTATATTTTAGTTGATCGTAAATGCTTGTCAGCACACCATATTTCAAAGATTAATTATGAAAATTACAAATAAAGGTAATTTAAAAAAAACACTTAAATTATGCTATTTTATTTAAAATCAATATACACTATAAAACATCTGCATTTAATAGCAAATAACATGCAGATAGATGTGTGTGTATCTAACTATCTATATATCTATTTATTTACTTACTTGCTTTTTTATGTATGTCAGGGTGGGAAGTTTTTTGTACTTTTAGATTCTTTGCACAATGTATTACACATAGAATTGGACGTGTGTATGATGGCTTGTGTTTCAGCTCACTACAGAGTCAGTGCTGGTGAACTCACTCTCGTGCATGTGACCCCAGCCTGAGATCTTACAGCAGGAGTGATCGGGAAACGTCATGTCTTTCTCCGGCAGACAGATGGGCCTGATGAAGGGCGTCTTCAGAGCGCAGCGTCCCTCCACCTTCTTCAGCTTCACTAGAGCTGCAAAAACAGCTGCTATTACACACAATCAGCACGAGTGCTGCTGCTCAGCGTGTTGAAGCGTGTCTGTTACACACCAGCCCACATGTGTGTGTGTGTGTGTGTGTGTGCGTGTGTGAGAGAGAGAGTGTGTGTGTGTGTGTGAGTGTGTGTGTGTGTGTGTGTGTGTGTGGGCGTTTTTGTGACAAATGGGGAGATAAATTTGTATAATGACAAAGGTATAACATAGGTATTACAAGGAGAAGGTGACTTGTGAGTGAGTGAGTGAGTGAGTGTGTGTGTGAGTGTGTGTGAGTGTGTGTGAGTGTGTGTGAGTGAGTGAGTGAGTGAGTGAGTGAGTGAGTGAGAGAGTGAGTGTGTGTGTGTGTTACATATATGTGGTTGAAAAAGCACATTTGCACATAATGTGTTGTCTTTGTTCAATCTACCGTGTTGCAGACACCCACATCTGAACACACCGGGGAGTTTTACTGAATAAGGTATAAAACAGGGCCTGAAACAATTTACAATTCTATGAATAAAGTCAATTACATGTTCAATAAAAATGAGGTGCATAACAATCAGAACCTCAAACTTAATTTTATATGAGCTGTTTTGATTTTTTATTCATGTTCTTTAGAGTTTGTTTAAAAGGTATATTACTGTGATTTTACCATTTTCTAGCAATAAACATGCAAAAAATAAAAAATAATTGACAAAAATGTATAATAAATAAATAAATGCATGGGTAACAGTGTTGCCAATTTAGCCTAAAATGTATTTATTACAAAACTTGGAAAAATAGAAAGTAGTTTAGATAGATAGATAGATAGATAGATAGACAGATAGATAGATAGATAGATAGATAGATAGATAGATAGATAGATAGATAGATAGATAGATAGATAGATAGATAGATAGATAGATAGATAGATAGATAGATAGATAGATAGATAGATAGATAGATAGATAGATAGATAGATAGATAGATAGATAGATAGATAGATAGATAGATAGATAGATAGATAGATAGATAGATAGATAGATAGATAGATAGATAGATAGATAGATAGATAGATAGATAGATAGATAGATAGATAGATAGATAGATAGATAGATAGATAGATAGATAGATAGATAGATAGATAGATAGATAGATAGATAGATAGATAGATAGATAGATAGATAGATAGATAGATAGATAGATAGATAGATAGATAGATAGATAGATAGATAGATAGATAGATAGATAGATAGATAGATAGATAGATAGATAGATAGATAGATAGATAGATAGATAGATAGATAGATAGATAGATAGATAGATAGATAGATAGATAGATAGATAGATAGATAGATAGATAGATAGATAGATAGATAGATAGATAGATAGATAGATAGATAGATAGATAGATAGATAGATAGATAGATAGATAGATAGATAGATAGATAGATAGATAGATAGATAGATAGATAGATAGATAGATAGATAGATAGATAGATAGATAGATAGATAGATAGATAGATAGATAGATAGATAGATAGATAGATAGATAGATAGATAGATAGATAGATAGATAGATAGATAGATAGATAGATAGATAGATAGATAGATAGATAGATAGAACTAAAGCTATAAAAAATAACATAAATAAAATAAAACATAAAACATTTATTCTCATTTAAAGTTGAAGTACTAAAATAACTATAAGTAAATAAACTAAAAATAATAATAATAATAATACATATTATATTGAAATAAAAAACTAAAATAAAAATGACTAAAACACAACTAAATTACTAAAACTTTAAGTAAAATTATTAATAAAATAAAATTAAAAACAAACAAATTGTGTATTTTTTAAATATATTTTGTATATATATATAATGTTAACTCCTGAAGGTAGGATTGTTCAGGGATGCAAATTAGACAGATCTCTTTAATTGAACTTCAATATAAAGCTCATGAAGTAGTTCCCTGATTTTAGTTTAAAGCACTAGCTGTTGTACTGTCTGCTTTTGGAGTCCAAACTCACCGATATCGTTTAAGGTCGGCTCAAACTGTGTGTAACGCGGGTACAGAATATAGTCCTGAACAGCAAAGGTCCTGGTGTTGGGACCGGTGTCGTTAAAGGAGTGCTGGCCGAGAACGACCCGAATCTGTGACTTTAGTGGACTGAGAGAGAGAGGTTCACTGTTATACAGCTGTATGGAGTTAGACTGAAGCTAGAACTCTATAGAAATGCATGAAGTGCACACACAGACACATACTTGCGCAGGAAGCAGTGAGCGGCCGACACGATCCAGCAGGAGGAGACCAGTGTTCCTGCACAAAACTCGTCTGCGATGTACAGCGCTGCCATCCAGGGGTGAGCGCCGGGCAATGCAGACGTCCCGCCCAGGATTCGACCCCGACTGATCCGCTTCTCCTGCCGCTTCCCACACGCCGGGGTCCTGACGGGTCTGCGGGACGGCCCCGGGGCCACGGTGAGGACGGGACTTCTGCGGCCCACTGACAGAGACAACAGAGACTGTGTTCAATTATAATAATCCTGACTGAAGCATATGAAGTATTCTATCACTTAAAATAAAATGCAACACAAAGTAGTCTTTGTATTTGAGTTGTTTTAGCTGTCTGCTATAACGGAAACATAACTACTGCAAAAACAGCAGTCATTTAATATTAATATAATAAATGTGTCACAGTCCAGTTTTCTCAGTATAAAAAAATAAATAATAAAAATAAGATTAAATAAATAAATAACTGATAATTACATTAAAACAATAAATAAACATTTAAAGCAAACAAATACATAAATAGACTATACAAATAAAATAAATAAATAATCAAATATTACATTAGAATAAATAAAATAAAATAGATCAAAATAAATAAAATTGATTTCAATAAATAAACAAATTAACATCAGATTGAAACAAAATAATTTAAATAATTAGATTAAAATAAATACATAAATGAATAATAAATCATTAGAAATGAGATAAAAATAAATAAACAAAAACTGATTAAAATACATAAATGCCAATAAGTAAACAAAGCAAGAAAATAAGTAAATAAATTAGTAAATAAAAATAAATAAAATAAAAAGTAAATAAATAAATGATCATAACTGTACTATAGATAAACCTCTGCACTTTAGTATTTCACTTCAAAACAGTTCAAAACGTTCAAAACTTGAAGTTTTTGTTCTTAAGATTGTATAATGTTTTTGAAAGAAGTCTCTTCTGCTCATCAAGGCTGCATTTATTTGATCAAAAATACAGTAAAAACAGTAATATTGTGAAATAATATTACTGTTTAAAACAGCTGTTTTCTATGTGACTATATATTAAAATGTCATTTATTTCTGTGATCAAAGCTGTATTTTCAGCATCATTGCTCCAGTCTTCAGTGTCACATGATCTTCAGAAATCAGTATAATATGCTGATCTGCTGCTCGAGAAACATTTCTGATTATTATCAATGTTGAAAACAGTCGTGCTGCACAATATTTTTGTGGAAACTGATGCATTTTATTTTTCAGGATTCACAGATGAACAGAAAGTTCAGAAGAACAGCATTTATTTGAAATATAAATCTTTTGTAACATGATTAATTTAATGCAAGCTTGAAGAATGAAAAGCATTAATTTTAAGTTTTGAATGCTGACGCTTTGAGGCAGCGTCTCTGATCACAACCAATGAAGTCTCGAGCTTCAGGCGACGCTGGGTGAGATTTCTAGAGAAGTTTTTAGGAAAGCTTATGGCTCTTGTTTCGTGTTTGCTGCAGCTGTGAGTCGTGAGGACTGTTCTGGAGAAGCTCGGGATCTGCTGTGTTTGTGTGTGCTTCACTGACGCGCTGGTTTGGAGCAGGGCTCGATGGCGCAGTACTCCCACGAAACGGCTCGCCCTGTCACCGTATAACACCACGGCAGCTTATCTTGATCAGGATTCCTGCCGAATCAAGGACACATCTCAGACAGCACAAGATCACAGTCACAAATAAAACTGCTGCTCAGTTCAATCCAACACACGCTTCTGATTCATTTCTGATTAAGTGCTGATTCCCAAAAAAATACTGTCTGTTTTACTTGGAAAAGTCACACTTTCTCACAACCGATGTGCATTTTGCAGCATTTTTGCGTTTGATAAGCATTTGTAATGTGAAGAAGTCTTGCATTCCCCCTTAAACAGCAGAACAGCACCACACACACACGATTCCTGATTCTGTGTTCAATTCTCAGCCCATTTTCACACTGAAGGACATTGTAATCCTGATCCACTCCTTTGCAGATTGTAAGTTAAATTATACATTTTGAAGACTTCTTTTTGTCATTAAAACCAAAACTTTAGACATCCGATTCAGACATTTTGTTATTTTGATAAGTATATATATATATTCAAGATGCAGGGCTGTGTAATTTTCTGGTAATAACATGACTTCCAACACATAATATGTTCAACTGATATTCATTGCAAGTGAAAGCATGCAGTTATGTGTCAAAGTATATGACTCCTTCAAACAGTTCTCAGCTCCCTGTAAAAGCTGAGCGTCCTGCACACGAGTCGGCGTGAGGAGACGTGCTGTCACCTGCAGAAGGCGTGTCCCCCGAGGCCCCTGTGGGGGGCGCTCTCCACCGTCTCCACTGTCAGCTCCGTGAACAGCAGATCTGAGTTCCACGGCAGACAAGACGAGCCCGAGACCGTGACACTGGCCACACCGCGGTACAGAGCGCCTGAATCACGGTAACACTGCTCTCCTGGGTCTGATGACACACACACTGTTCAGTTGTGTGTGTGTGTGTGTGTGTGTGCGCGTGAGTGTG